TTAACTACATACCTCTTCTGTTTATTTTACATTCTACTTACTCTTATTCGGGTTACAGTTAAGTATGAAAGGGGGGAAAGTGCCTAACGATTGACAGAAAGCATGCACAGTTCCTTTGTATAAAGGAAAAGGGACAAAAGACAGTGTAAGAACTATAGGGAAATAAGCATGTTGAGTATACCAAGAAAGCATATAATAGAATTATTATTGAAAGAATTAAGGGGAAAAGAAAAGCGAGACACCAGGATCACAGATGAACAAGGTGGTTTTAAGAAGGGTATGGTGATATGTAGACCAAGTGTTTACATTGAAGCATATAAGTGAACAATATTTAGATAAGGGTAAGGAAGTTTTCATTGCATTTATGGATTTAGAAAAGGCATATGACAGGGTGGATAGTGAAGCAATGTGGCAGATGTTTGTAGATGAATGGTTCAGAGAACCGACATGTTGATAAATTAGACACATGTGCAACTCTTGGGTATCTTTATTGAGGAAACGTTTCGCCACACAGTGGCTTCATCAGTCCATACATAGGAGAAACTTGAAGAACAGGAGGAGAATGAGGTAATCAGTCCCTCAACCTTGAGTCGATGTGTTCAGTCCATCAAGATTGATGGACTGAACACATCGACTCAAGGTTGAGGGACTGATTACCTCATTCTCCTCCTGTTCTTCAAGTTTCTCCTATGTATGGACTGATGAAGCCACTGTGTGGCAAAACGTTTCCTCAATAAAGATACCCAAGAGTTGCACATGTGTCTAATTTATTTGGCAGATGTTGCAATGCATAGAACAAGTGTGACTGTTGTCAGGTTTTGTTTTCCACACTGTGGCTGCTAGGCCTAGTGCTGCTATCTGGCATGGGCCTAGTTCTACCTATACAGCACACTCCACCAGACCTTGCCTAGTTCTCACTATCACGCCAGACCTACCAACAGCAAGGTGTGCTTTCCCAAAGTCCTCTCAGCTAGGCCTTTGGCTGCAGCTGGGGCCACCAAACACACACACTGCTGTATATGTATCATTATCCCACTAGATAAATACTACTGATATATCTGGTGTCGAGAGCAAGAGGCTAGTAACCCCTTCTCTTGTATAAATTACTAAATTTAAAAAGAGAAACTTTCGTTTTTCTTTTTGGGCCACCCTGCCTCAGTGAGATATGGCCGGTTTGTGGAAAGAAGAATATCATCACAACATATTCAGTGAGTACAGTGTTTCCAGTAGTTGTGTTATACTCAGAGAGAAGAAGGAAGACAAAAGTCACATGTTCATCGCCCATACTAGCAGTATTCTTCTACCAACAAGCTATCCTGATGTCATGTCTTTAACCCTCGACAGACAGTCACAGGTACATCCAAGATTTATACAGAAATATGCTTAATTTCCTTGAGAAATCTTTGCAGCATTAAATGGGTTCCTCTCAGCATCCCATACTGTTCTTAGTCATGTGTTCTGGGTCACCTGTACACTGCTGCTTGCTGTTTCAGCTCATCACGGCTATTACAGAGGCGAGTTTAGTGTTTTTTTTTTGGTCCACAGTGGTTGAGCCCACCCGAAACACATGCGTGTGAGGGGCAGCAAGCTCTCTCTCCTTGCCTATGCCACCAGAGCTCCCAGCTCCTCCATCACTACTACCACTACCCACTCCCTCGGTGTTGCCGTTTCAAGAATATCTGTGTGAATTTCTGGCCAGAAATTCACACTCAAGCCACTCACCACATGGGTCACCAAGCCACATGGATGTCCAAGGCCTGGGAAACACCTAGGTGAGGGCTTTTGTGCTATGGTGTGTCAATCTCCCATGTATGTACACATGTGCACGTGCGTGCATGCGTGCGCGTGCATGTGTGTGTTGCAGGTCATGGGGACATCTTGTGCACTCACCACACACTTACACACCACTGTTTTCTCATTTCCCTGTGCTGTCTACTTAATTCTGACATTAGTTTGCTGTTGTCTTCTGCTATGACATCACATCCAATGTCACTTCATGACATCATGCCTGAAGTCACCTCACATCATGCTGTGACATCACTCAGATGTCATCCCATGATGTCACACCATGGCATCACACCCGACATCACCCCCATTATCATACCACAATTTCACCTTGAAGTCACTTCCACAACATCATGCAATGATGTCATCTCATAAGTTATGCATGGAACCATGCTCAACATCACCCCACAACATTACACCTGATGTCATGTCACACCACGATGTTACATCACCAGTACTGATTTGTAATTATATAGCAAGCAATTTAAAGTGTTTTTCAGTAATCTCTGGAAAGTCTGAGAAATGAAATGTTGAAGTATTCAATGTTCCCAGTCAACAGATCATATGTTCGACCAAGTATCATAGATCACAGTCAATGTTCCATTACCACTGTTCCACTGTTCTTAACCCTTTCACTATCGGCCCCATAATATTACGGCTTGCAAGCCAGTGACGGTCCCATAATAGTACACCAAAATTCTAGCGGCTTCCAATCTTGCAGAAGAAAGCTGGCAGGCCTACATATAAGAGAATGGGTCTGAGTGGTCAGTGTGCACAGTAAAAAAAAATCCTGCAGCATGCAATGCATAATGAGGAATAAAAAACTGACCATCTTATTTGTTTACATCAGTGATTTTGCAGTGTAGTTTCGTATGGTATTTATGGTTGTATTCTTGTTTTCTTGGTCTCATTTGATAGACTGAAAGATATATTATAGAAGTAGAGATGATTTTGAATGATTTATGGAGTAAAAGTACCTCAAAATTGAGCTCAAAGTGGCAGAAAGATTCGATTTTTTGCTGATGTTCAAGAGTAAACAAATCACGCCAGGCATCCAATACATGTCAACTGGTGGGTCTAATATGCTTTCACAAATGCACTGATATTACTTATACCATTTTTACAATAATGCAGTAGTCTGCATACCAGTAAATATTCTATGCTTTGTGTGAATAAAAATTCAAAATGGAAAGCAAACTGGAGACATGACTATTGAAGAGATAAAATGTTATTTTAGTGCTAACGATTGACAGAAAGCATGCACAGTTCCTTTGTATAAAGGAAAAGGGACATAAGACACTGTAAGAACTATAGGGAAATAAGCATGTTGAGTATACCAGGAAAGCATGTTTGCATTGTTAATTCTGGACCCTATTTTGAATTTGGCCTTCCTTGAATTGTCTATGAATTGGCCAAATTACCAATTTCTGATCACTTTATTGGGTAGTTGAAACCGGTAAATTGGCAATTTCTTGAACTCAAATCGATAGAACAAAAGAAGTTCTAGTTAAATAGCTATGAGTTTACTCAAGTGGAACAATGGAATTGGCTGAAAACAGGGCTCAAAGTGGGCAAAACTGCTGATGCACAAATATCGCCAAGACCCCTAACTTCGTGAGAGCGTAATTTCATAAGTTTTCCATCAAATTTTGTACTTTTGGTTTCATTACCATTGGGAAAAGATTCTCTATCATTTCATATGAAAAATAATTTTTATTTTTTTAATTCTTCGAAACTGATAGCAAGTTTGTGAGCAGGGATCTCGGCAGTGAAAGGGTTAAATACCACAGTTTTCATTTTGCACAGAAAAGAATCATTCTGCTACTGCAAGGAATGCTGTAAACATGATACTGCATGTTTAGTTGTGAATGTGCTGGTTTTTTGTACGTAGAACCCTTATATCTGCAGATTTGGTTTCCACAGTTTCAGTTATCTGTGGTTTACTGTGGCCCAAAAATATTAAATAAAAAATTCCAGAAATAAATAATTCACAAATTTCAAACTGCGTGCCATTCTGAGTAACATGGTAAAAGCTTTCCGCCCTGTTGCTCTCAGTACATGACTCATCTTTCTTTGTCCTCTGTACCCACACTGGGTCGCTTTACTCAAATCCAGTTAGCCTCTAGGATTCTCAATGTCCACATTCATTGCCCTGTTATTGCAGTGTTGTTGAAATAACAATCAATATCATAATGTCTTATTGTGCATACTATATCAGTTGAACTTTATCATGGGTATGTACGTAAATTAAAAACGACTTATAAGGTTTGCAACTATCCACGGTTTCGGGCATCCGCAGTATGTCTTGGAACATATCACCCATACATATGGGGAACTACTGTATATGTTACACAGCATGGTTTGTGCCTAGACCAACATAACACATCCTTCAATTACAGAGTACAGGTCACACTGTGACATAACCATTTGTCTAATGACTCTACAGTCAGTCCTGGCATTAGATGCGCAAGTCGTATGAGCCACCAGTACAGAGAGACATAATGCTTGTTGGCTCTTGTTGATGTCACACCTGAGTCATTTCACCTATGACTCCCACACCACACAGAGTCGTTCTCTGGCAACTCTCACCTACCGGCATTGCTGAAGGCACCTTCACCGGAGTCGTCCTGACAGCTCACCCACTTGTTGCCGTCGTCTCCACGACACCCTGCTAGCAGTATGAATGTACAGCTGACAAGTCTGCAGCAACTGCATGATGCAGATTTGTCAACATGAATCAGAACATTTCCAGCACCTTGCTGAATCCCTGCCATGAAGAATTCAGGCTGTTCTTGGGGCAAAGGGAAAGAGGGTCCTACCCAGTATTAGAACGGTGTATCTAATAAAGTAGCAACTGACTGTATATATATTTTTTTGTCATTTACTGTTTACATGAAAGGTACCGTATATCTTTGTTTTCTAAATAACCGACCATATCAAAAGCCTTTTGAAGGAGTGAAGATCAAGGGTGTAAAGGAAGACATGGTGGCAATCTGCTTCACAGAATTGCTGAAGAATGAAAAAATATGACAGCACAGAATTATATATTAGGATTAACATTAGACATAATATCCATGAGAAGAGACTGCAGTGCTGACTCAGTATATTCAGATTTTTCTTACTAATTATCACACATACAGACACTGAATCCTAAAATAAAATATATAAACACTAACATTTTTCCTGAAAAACGTTCCAACACAAAGCCTACCAACCTTCTCTAGATGTTTATCTCGCGCTTCCATTGCCTGCCGAATGCGGTTTCTAAGATACTGTGAGCGTGCAGCCACAAAGACAACATGTGCTGGGATTCTCTGTTCCTCAGATCCCACCAGAAAGTCAACATCAGTAAACTGTTGACTCTCCAAAAGCTTACCAAAATCATCGTGTAGAGTGCACTTGGGGTAACTGGAGAACTGAAAAATAAATAAATATGTAACAACAACAATAATAATAATAATAATAATAATAATGGTGAAGTGGAACAGAATTCTTCCTCCATAAGCTGTGTGTATCATAAGACGTAACTTAAATGCTTGGAGCAAGGGGCTAGTAACCCCTTCTCCTGTATATATTACTAACTTAAAAAGAAAGACTTTCATTTTTCTTTTCAGGTCACCCTGCCTTGGTGGGATATGGCCGGTTCATTGAACAAAAAAATAATACAGTGGACCCTCAAGTTTCGAACGGACCAACGATCGAATATTTCGAGTTTCAACCTCTTTTTTTCGAACCAATTTTCTTCCGAGTATCAAACTCTACCCATCTTTCGAACCGCTGGGTACTGGACCTGTCCGCCAGCCTACTCTGTCCGCGTCCCCTCGTGAGCCAGTCTGGCTTTATTGATGCTTGAGTGAACACAAACCTGCTGCTCATTTAAACATTTCACAATTAATTCATTGTGTTTGGTGCTTGTTTATTAAGTGCAACTGTGAAATAAGCTACGATGATGGTGATGGTGGATGGTATTGGTGGGTGGTGGTGCTGGTGGTGGATGGCCTGCCAGCTAGCCATGTTGTTTACACAACCCCATGCTCCCTTCAACAAATTTTTTTTTTTGGGTAAGTAAAATTTTTATTTTATATGTTTATTTAAATGTTTATTTATCTAATACTAATTGTACTATGTATGTTTGTTGTGTGTATGTAAAACTATAATGTAATCTCTATAAAATGTGTTTTTTTGTGAATATTTTTGGGTTTCTGGAACGGATTAATTGTATTTCCATTATTTCTTATGGGAAATATTGGTTCAACTTTCGAACATTTCAACTTTAGAACTAGCTCCTGGAACGGATTAAGTTCGAAACTCGAGGGTCCACTGTAATTATTATTATTGTTTTAATTTTCAAATTAGATACAGGAGGGCCCCACTTATACGCGGGTTAGGTTCCAGGCTACCGCCGTAAAGCGGAAACTGCCGTAAAGTGGAACACCCTTTTTTTCCCACTTACAAATGCATACAAACACTAGATAACAAGTTTACACTAACATATATTATGTTAGCAATAGAACCAGGCATCAAAAAACAATAAAAAAGTACAATACACACATAGTGCACTCATTACTTACCTTAAAATATTTATAGTCTTAATCTAGGGTGAGACAAGTAGTATTTATTGTAAGAAATCAAGTGTGGTATGTATGGTAGTCAGCCAGGCTACCATACCAGGCCACCCCACCCACACATACTATTCTATGATATTTAAGCATCCCAGAGCGTAAAATGTATATTACAGTTCACTCATTACTTACTTAAAATATAGGGTGAGATGAGTAGCATTTATTGTAAAAAATCAAGTGTGGTATGTATGGTAGTCAGGCAGGCTACCATACCAGGCCAACCCACCCACACATACTATTCTATGATATTTAAGCATCCCAGAGCAATAAAATGTATATACAGTTCACTCATTACTTACCTTAAAATATAGGGTGAGATGAGTAGTATTTATTGTAAAAAATCAAGTGTGGTATGTATGGTAGTCAGCCGGGCTACCATACCAGAGAGAAAGAATGAGTGCATGAGAGAGGACAGGCGCAGAGTTATGTAAACAAACCAGGCGAAGGTAAGTTTTGTAAACAGTGTACACGTCTGGTTTGTGTACAAGTTACATTGTGTACAGGTTGTTTCTACATTGATACGGTAGAATAAATAAAGAAGAACACTCCCATTCTCATGTAACATCATTTTGAGAAGAAATGATGCTCTGAGTGAAGGCAATGGAAGTAAGTCACTCTGACTTTTTTGGGTTATCCTAGGTTCTCTACACATATGTTGTTATGTATTTATGTTATGTATTGTGTTTATTATATAATTTTGAAAAAAATATCACGGATGGATTAATGAAAATGTGTATATTAACGTAATATACAACATTTAATGATACACCGAGCTCAGACAGCGTAAACAAACAAACTGAACAGGTTGTGGACGATCACTCGGTCAGGCGAAATAGACGGTATTAATACATGTCCAGTTTTAGTTCATTCATGTACATTTGTAAGAGTTTGCGAAACTTTTACCTTATAATATTTTTATTATTATTATAATAATTAAATCACGAAACAAATACTCTTACACTGTGTACAAGTTAGTACAGAATTATAGCTATAAAGTGAAGGCATACGAAAGGAATATTTTTCTACAGTTATCCCTAGTAACAGGTGACGGGCTAGAGAAAACGTAATTCTTCCGACACTTCTACAAACCGTTTGGTAAACATCTCATATATATTTGTATAAATTTTTATACTATGGGTGCATGTATCATGTTTGTGTGTTACATAATGTGTTTCTTATATAATTTTGAAAAAAAAATATCATAGATAGATTAAGGGAAATGTCTATATTAACCTAATATGCGACATTAATGCGCCCAAGAGATTATTATTATTACTATTATTATTATTATTATTATTATTGCATCAAGAGTAGAGAGACTCTTAGTGATTTTAATGTGTACCTACATGCCAGCACAGTGTGTAAGTTTATGTAAGTACAGGTGTACACAAGTTTAATTATCAAGTACAATACATATAAAATATACAATAACTTTAAAACACTTGAAATTTTGGAAAGTTTCCAGACATAATAAGGAGATGTGCTCAGGGAGAATGTAAACAAACTCGGTGGGCCGCTGTGACCGTATCAGAAAGACAGGTGGGGGGAGCCGTATAGCGAGTTTTGGTCATAATTTGAAATATCCGTATTAGCGGAACGCCGTAAAGCGAAACGCCATAAAGCGGGGCCCTGCTGTACATTTATGTAACAGAGACTGATTTCATTATTTGTTTCTTTCATGGGAAAGCCAACAGTTCTGCAAAGCATTTTGTTAAACTCTAAGTTGGAGAAGCAATAATAAAGCATAAAAGCCTTGGTTCATGCAGATCATGTCAGGTAGACTAGAACTAGAACTTCAATCCACTTGATATGTAGTCGTTAGTCAGATCATTTTAGTTTTAAGTCTGACATAATTAATCTGCCTGAGGATAAAATATTAAATGTAATGATTATTTAAAGTAACACAGTTTAATAAAACAGCAATGTTAATATGAAGGGATAGTAATACAAGAGTAATGATAATTATTGCTATAAAATAACTGGGCTTTAGAAATGCTGAGGAGACAAAAAGTGCATGAGTAGGAATTGGAATCTGGTTAAACAGGTTCCATTAGATATATCTGACAGTTATATTCAATCAACGTAAATTTACACCAAGGTCAGGAACTATTTTTAACTCCTTAACTATGGCATACATGGAAAAAAAAATTCTTGTGTGAGACAAGATTTTGAAGAAAAAAAAATTCTTACAGTTTGACAGAGAACATTTTATTCTGAATAGAATACGACTAAAATGAGCAGAACCTGAAAAAAAATTACTGTTTTAAGCTATGTTGAAGTTGAAAATTAAGACAGATGTGCAACAGTTGAGTATCTTCATTGATGAAATATTTTGCCTACAGTGTATGCAAAACATTTCAACAATAAATATACCCAACTTTTGTACATGTGTTTTAATCTTCAACTTGTCAGTATTTTATACCATTTTCAACAATGTTGAAGTTGTCCAAAACTGATGCACTGTTGGCATCACTGGCACAAAAGCATCAATTGTTCAAATTCAAGTTTATTTCCACATGATACATTGTTATACAGGAATGCACAAAGCCCATGGTTATGCTGAGCATGACAGGCAAACTTAAGCCTAACTTACGACTACACAGTCAACAAACATTATATGTATGTTTTTTAGCGACATTAAGTGTATATACCTTTGAAAATTTTATGAGTTTCTCTACTCTCTGAGCCCAGTCATGAGCCAGGCTCATCTGGTGCTTGCCTGGTCAAGCAGGCTGTTGCTGTTGGAAGCCTGCTGCACCACATATTCATCACAGCCTGGTTGATCTGGCACCTGGTGAAGATACTTGTCCAGGTTCCTCTTGAAGGTTTCTACACTTGTTCCAGCCATGTTTCTGATATCTTCTGGTAAGATGTTGAATAGTCTGGGATCCCGGATGTTGATACAGTGTTCCCTTATTGTCCCCACTACACCCCTACTCCTTACTGGGTTTATTTTACACTTCCTTTAATATCTCTCACTCCAGTATGTTGTTATGGCAGTGTGCATATTGGGGACAAGGCCCTCAAGTACTTTCCAGGTACAGTAGACCATTGTTTAACACTATTTTGTCTTGCATATTTTTGTTATAGAACGACTGAAGAATTGCGGCATGCTTTTGTTTCACACTTCGTAAAATTAGTTTAACACGGTTGCGTGAGGGGAAAAAATTTTGAGCGCCTGGTTGCCCGCCGGGTGGGATGGTCTGTGGGTTAGTGGGTTACACCACTGTGTCAATGGGGGAGACCTACTGCCATCCCCCGCTTCCTTAACCCTTTGACTGTTTTCGACGTATAAATACGTCTTACGAGCCAATGTTTCTGACGTATATATACTCAATAATTCTAGCGGCTTCAAATCAAGCGGAAGAAAGCTGGTAGGCCCACATGTGAGAGAATGGGTCTGTGTGGTCAGTGTGCACCACATAAAAAAAATCCTGCAGCACACATTGCGTAATGAGAAAAAAAAAACTGATCGTTTTTTTGGAATAAAACGCCGACTTTGAGGTGTATTTTCGTATAGTATTTATCGTTGTATTGGCGTTTTCATGGTCTTAAGTGATAAAATGGAAAACATATTACAGAAATAGAGATGATTTTCATTACTTTGACGATGAAAACGACCTTGAAACTGAGCTCAAAGTAGCGGAAATGTTCGATTTTTACCAATGTTCAGGAGTAAATAAATCACACCACACGTCCAATACACGTCAACTGGGGAGTCTAATATTCTTTCACTAGTGCACTGATATTATTTATACCATTTTTACAATAATGCAGTAGTCTGCATAACAGTAAATTTTGTATTTTTTTGTATGAATAAAAAATCAAAATAGAAAGCAATAATAATATAAGAGGGGTCTAGAGATGTGACTAATGAACAGAGCATATGTTATTTTAGTGCCACGAATGTCTACATTGTTTATTCTGGACCCTATTTTGAAATTGGCGTCTTTTTTAGTTTGCTTGAAATTGGCCAAATTGCCAATTTCTGACCACCATATTAGGTAGTCCAAATTAGTAAATGGGAGGTTTCTTGTACTCAGCTGATAGATAAAATGGAGTTCTAAAGAAATAGCTATGAGTTTGGTCAACTGGAACAATGGAATTAGCTGAAAAAAGGGCTCAAAGTCGGCAAAATCGCCGATACGTATATGTCACCGAGACCGCTAACTTCGCGGGAGCATAATTCCATGAGTTTTCGACTAAATTTCTAACTTTTGGTGTCATTACCATCGGGAAAAGATTCTCTATCATTTCATAAGAAAAAATAATTTTTTTTTTCAAAAATTGAGTGACATAGAATGACAGTTTCAGAAAGGGGCCTGAAACAGTCAAAGGGTTAAGCCACCCACACCACCCTCCCAGCAAGGAGATTACCAAGTGATGGTTTTGAAGATATAATGAAGAAGATGGAAAGTTTAGAAGATGTTGATAATGAAGACAGGAGTCCGGAGGAAATGTTGGCAGAGCTCGATGCACAGATACAAGGGAGGGAGATAACAGAAGAAGGTGACGAAGAGCCTGAAGAAAAACAGTTATTAACGCTGCAGCAGTTATGTGAGCAGTTCCGTGTTGCTGCTAAACTAGCAGACTTTTTCACTGACAAATCTAGAAGCAGTGCTTTGAAAATGGGTCTAGACCAGCTGATGCCTTACCGTCAGCTGTATAATGTACTGCAGGGTAAAAGAGCCCAGAGATCAATTAGAGAATTTATGCACACTCCAACACAACCATCGACTTCAGTACCAGAACCTCTACCATCCACTTCTGCCAACAACCAACAACCATTCACCTCAGCCCAGTAGGGCCACACCATTCATATCCACTCTCTTCACAATCATCCACAAATGCCATCCCCACAATTTAAGCTAAGAAATACTATTATTTCTATTGTATTTGTAGTCCTTAAGCAGTAATACATCACGACAATGCACTACAATTATAGATTTACATTCATTTTGTAAGATCTGGAGGTCTAAAAAAAAAGTTGTTTGGCTTTTGGGGGGGGGGCTCCAAGGACCATAACCCTATTTTTCCCATAAGTTCTTCAGTTCATATAACAGGATTTTACCTAACATGGCGTTTTCAGGAACGTAACTACCGTGTTAAATGATGTCTACTGTAACATGTTTCTTACATAATTCTGAAGAAAATATCATAGATGGATTAATGAAAATATCTATATTAATGTAAAATAAGACATTTAACCCTTTGATTGTTTAAGTCGTATGTATACGTCTTACAAGCCACCGTGTTTGTTGTACATATACTCATAAATTCTAGCGGCTTCAAATCAAACAGGAGAAAGCTGGTAGGCTCACATATGAGAGAATGGATCTGTGTGGTCAGTGTGCACCATATAAAAAAATCCTGGAGCACGCAGTGCATATTGAGAAAAAAAAAACTCTGACTGTTTTTTTGGATTAAAATGCCAAATTTGTGGTCTATTTTTGTATAGTATTTATGGTTGTATTCTCGTTTTCTTGGTCTCATTTGATAGAATGGAAAACATATTATAGAAAAAGAGATGATTTTGATTGGTTTTTCTATGAAAAGAGCCTTGAAATGGAGCTCAAAGTAGGGGAAATGTTTGATTTTTGCTGATGTTCAAAAGTAAACAAATGTCATTTTCCAATAAATGCCCAACTAGCCATTCTAATATGCAGTCATGAATGGGTTAACAATATTTATACAATTATTACAATATTGCAGTAGTCTGCATAACAGTAAATCTTCTATTTTTTGTTGGAATAAAAATTCAAAATAGAAAGCAAGAGTAATATCAGAGGGGCCTGGAGATGTGACTGATGAACAAAGAAAATGTTATTTTAGAGTCAGGAATGTCTGCATTGTTCATTCTGGAGCCTATTTTGAAACTGTCATATTTTTTTAATTTTCATGAAATTGGCCAAATTACAAATTTCTGACCAAATTATTGGGTAATTGAAATCAGTAAATTGGCAGTTTCTTGTACTCAATTGATAGAAAAAATGGAGTTCTAAAGAAATAGCTATTAGTTTGGCTGACTGGAACAAAGGAATTAGCCGAAAATAGGGCTCAAAGTGGGCAAAATCACCGATTCGTAAATATCGTCGAGGTCGCTAACTTTACGAGAGCGTAATTCCAGCAGTTTTTCATCAAATTTTGTTCTTTTGGTGTCATTACAATTGGGAAAAGATTTTATATCATTTCATAAGAAAAAATAATATTTTTTTTTTTGGAAATTTTGAGACACCAGAGACACCTCAGGATTTGGGGTTGTGACAGTCAAGGGGTTACTGTGCCCAAGAGTGAGTCATGAACGTATGAACGGCCCAGGTGGACGCGTCTGGTACCATCACAACTTACAGATATGCTGTGTATCTGATAGCCTGCTTGACTTTCTAGTTATATGTTGACATACATGACATTGTTTCTATGCCTTCTTCAGGAATAGTATCAGAAAGTGTGCATCTGGTCTCAGCCAAAGTGGATCACTTTCACAGTGTTACAACATCGACTGCCCTGCATACCATCTAAAAGGGACCAGGAGGCAAAGACCCCACAAGACAAACAATAGTAGCTACGACAACCCAACTCCAGGTGATTTTTTAGTGGCAGGAAACGGAAAAAGAAAATGGAAGGAAATAACAAAAATAGTCCACCACCTTGGAGCCTTGTTGGACTGGAGGCGCAGCCAGTGGCCACCCATGGCCCTCCAGAATTACAACAACTGATGCCAATAACAAAATCCCCCCAACAAACACAGAATACAACCTCGTTCATATTTGCTAATATACAGGGCCTTAAGCCATCCACCAACAACAAAATACCTTTTATCAGTGGACTTCTAGAGGAGTCTAATGCAATGTTTGCAGCCTTCACAGAGACTCACACAAAAGATCACTTTGACAGTGAAATATGGATAAGTGGTTACAACCTTTTTAGATGCGACAGAATGAACAGGCAACAAGGGGGGTTGGCCTGTATGTCAAAGAGTCCCTCATCTGCACGGAGTTGCTGAACACCACAAATGAGGTAGTTGAAGTTCTATCAATAAAGATCGAGAACCAAAACCTAGTCATTGTGGTTGCATATAAGCCACCAGATGCAACCTCACAACAGTTCAAGGAACAGGTACTGAAAATTGATTACTGTCTGGAAAACCTTCCACCTCCATCCCCAAACATCTTACTGCTTGGTGATTTCAACCTAAGGCATACAAAATGGAGGAATGTAGCAAATAATGTTATAGCTGAAACAATCCCCGGAGGTAGCACAGATGAAAGGTCACACACACATGAGCTACTAAGTCTCTGCGAAAAACACACCTTAAGCCAGCAGATAGTGGAGCCAACAAGACTAGAAAACACACTTGACCTTATCTTCACAAATAATGAGGACCTGATAAGAGACATAAGAATATCAAAAACAACTAATTCCGATCACAACCTAATCGAAGTCCAGACGTACATGCAAAGGGGTCCTGATCAGCAGAATGAATGTACCTGTGAAGGTGTCTTCACAAAATACAACTTCAACAACAAGAACATCAACTGGGACCAGGTAAACCATGTCCTAAACGAAATATGTTGGGAAGATGTCTTAAATGACATGGATCCAAACCAGTGCCTCGAAAGGATCAACTTCCTGGCAGCTGAAGCATGTTCTATACATATTCCCCTAAGAAAGAAGAAGAGCAGGAGTAAACTGGAGAGAGAAAGACGCTCCCTCTACAGAAGACGACGAAGAGTCACTGAGCTCCTCAGGAGTGCTAGAATATCTGATACACGAAAGGAGGCACTGACCAGGGAAGTGGAAACTATCGAACTTAAGTTAAATGACTCTTACAGGAACCAGGAGAGACAGGAGGAGCTTAAAGGTATTAGTGAAATTGAAAGAAATTCAAAATATTTCTTTTCACATGCCAAAAACAAGGCAAATACCACATCTAGTATCGGGCCCTTACTCAGACAGGATGGGACTTACACAGATGACAACAAAGAAATGAGTGAAATATTGAAATCCCAGTACGACTCTGTGTTTAGTGAACCACTAATCGGTCTGAGGATCGACGACCCAAATGATTTCTTCATGAATGAACCTCAAAACTCCATAAATGTATGCCAGATTTCCGACATTACCCTAACTCCGATAGATTTTGAAAAAGCTATTGACAACATGCCCATGCACTCAGCCCCGGGCCCAGACTCGTGGAACTCTGTTTTCATTAAGAACTGCAAGAAACCCCTCTTGCGTGCCCTAAGTACACTATGGAGGAGGAGCTTGAACATGGGTGAAATTCCACAGTCACTTAAAACAACGGATATAGCTCCACTCCATAAAGGTGGCAGCAAAGCATTAGCTAAGAACTATAGACCAATAGCTCTGATGTCCCACATCATAAAAATCTTTGAAAGAGTGCTAAGAAGCAGGATTGCAAATCACCTGGATTCCCAAAATTTGCACAATCCAGGGCAACATGGGTTCAGGGCAGGTCGCTCCTGCCTCTCACAACTACTGGATCACTATGATATGGCCTTGGATGCACTGGAAGAAAACCAGAATGCAGATGTAATATACACAGACTTTGCAGAAGCATTTGACAAATGCGATCATGGCGTAATAGCCCATAAAATACGTGCTAAAGGAATAACTGGGAAAGTGGGGAGATGGATCTTCAACTTCCTAACAAATCGAACACAAAGAGTAGTGGTCAACAGAGTTAAATCAGAGGCTGCCATAGTGAAGAGCTCTGTTCCACAAGGCATAGTACTCGCCCCCATCTTATTCCTTACCCTCATATCAGACATAGACAGAGATATACATCACAGCATCGTATCATCCTTTGCGGATGATACTAGGATCTGCATGAGGCTATCATCTGCTGAGGACGCTGTTAACCTCCAAGAAGATATAAACAAAGTTTTCCAGTGGGCAACAGTAAACAATATGATGTTCAATGAGGACAAATTCCAACTACTCCGTTATGGAAAACTGGAGGAGATAATAACTAGAACAGAGTATACTACAGACTCTGGCCATACAATAGAGCGGAAAAATAATGTAAATGACCTGGGAGTAGTAATGTCTGAGGATCTCACTTTCAAGGATCACAACAGTGCCACGATCGCACGTGCAAAGAAAATGATAGGATGGATAATGAGAACATTCAAAACGAGAGATGCTAAGCCAATGATGATCCTTTTCAAATCACTTGTATCTCTCTAGGCTGGAATACTGCTGTA